AGCAGCACAGTCATGCTGTCCATTATGATAAAGTATATGTGGATTCCCCTTCTCCAGAAGATGCTAATGAGATACTGAATTCGGACCCTTTGCCGCCGCCTCTTCCACTGCAGCCACCGTTTGGGCCTGAATTTTATCCAAGTGACAATGAAGAGTCAGCTGGAATCCCTGATATCAAGCCAGTGAGAAAATTCATTCCAGATTCATGGAAAAACTTCTTCAGAGGAAAAAGAGATGATCCAGAATGGAACAAGCCAGTATCTGCCATTTCAGATGGAATTCAATGCTCTCCACCATCATCTCCAACACTTACTCCAGTGAAACCAGTCCCTACTTCAGCACCAAGCTCTTATCAGGATCCATATGGAGGATCAGGGGGAACTTATACTTCACAAAAAGAAGCTGAAGCCATTTTCCCTCCAGATCCATATGGCTCTCTGGGAAAGCATACTCAGGCTCTGACATATAGTGAGAAAGTAGAAGCTTTTAACCTGAGATATTCCTACATGAAATCTTGGGCAGGATTGCTTAGGATCTTGGGTGTTGTTGAACTGCTCTTAGGTGCAGCTGTATTTGCCTGTATCACAGCTTACATTCACAAGGACAATGAGTGGTACAACATGTATGGTTTTTCACAACCATATGGCTATGGTGCAAGCAACATGTATGGCAGTTATTATTACAATGGACCCAAAACTCCTTTTGTTCTCGTTGTAGCAGCACTTGCTTGGATAGTGACTATTATACTTCTGGTACTTGGTATGTCAATGTACTACAGAACTATTCTTCTAGATTCCCACTGGTGGCCTTTAACTGAATTTGGAATCAATGTGGCTTTGTTTATTTTATATATGTCAGCTGCTATTGTCTATGTAAATGATACAAACAGAGGAGGACTTTGCTCCTATCAATTATTTAACACACCAATGAATGCCGCTTTTTGCCGTATAGAAGGAGGACAGACAGCTGGAATTATTTTTTTGTTTGCAACAATGATTTTATATCTCATTGGTGCAATAGTTTGCTTAAAACTATGGAGACATGAAACTGCACGCAGACACAGAGAGTTCATGGAAGAGCAGGTAAGTTTTCAAGAACATACAAGCTGTATTTCTGTGCATGTTTTTTTAATGAAAGATGGGGTATATTGCTTCCATAAAGGTTATTTCCTTCATTTTTTCACTTTCCTTCAAGATTCAGAAAATTGTATCAGACAGATAAGAAGAAATAGAGCTTTTAGAAAGTTAAGGGGCATTTTCTGTCATTGCAGATCACCAAAGAAGTTTCAAGAAAGGAGTGGAAACCTATTCTTTGTAATGCTTGGATTTAGGGAGAAGTAGAAAAGATCTCCTTTGTAACTGCTCCTTCCCCCAACAGTTCTTCAAAACTTATTTTAGGGTAATCTGTAAAACGAGTGGTTTTACATATAATTACAGATAATTACCTGGATTTTCTTACTGGTAAATTGTCATTCTTGCTTTTTATACGAATTCTTAGCCAAGAGTTGTAATAGAAACCAAGCTTTAGAAGGAATGTTTTAGAGGAGAACTATAAATATAAACCATATGTATAGATTATATCATGTGAGTCATCATGTAGTGTCTTACAATGTGCTCTTTTTTCTGAATTGCTCTCTAGTTTTAGAAAGTGACATGCACAGGCTTGCTATCAAAAGACTTTTCAACCATTTTAATTTCTGTGTACAAAAATTTAATTATTATAATGTAAAGATACTCATTTCCCATGTAGATAAAATTTTGTTGAAATCACTCCTTATTCTATCAGTCACTGAATGCAGCTGGTACCAGCTAATAAAAATAAAAAATAGAAATTTTGTAGTTAAAATAAAATATGCATTGAAACAACAAAAAAACTGAAAAAACAGTTAACATTTCAAAAGTCTGCCTAAATAAAAACCATATTTTTTTGGGGTGTACAGACTACCATCTGTATTTGAAAGATGCTTAATTTTGCTTTCAGTACCAAATTCTCTGCCCAGGTTAAAAAAAGAGGCATATACACCACCAGAACCTATATTTTGTCAGTACAAAATGAAATGATTTTGCTACTGTCGTTCCATAATAGCATTATCAGGTGGTTGTAGTCTGGATGTATACATTTAATACTGTTATTTCTGTTTCTTTTATTAGATGAAGTCACAATCATTTTCCCCCAAAAGAATGGTAAGAACAAAAACTGCATATGCTCTATTTAATTTGTAGTTACAGAATTTGGGCTACCTTAGTTTCAAAAGGAGATGCAAAAAATGGATCCTTATTAAAAAAAAAATCTGTTCTAGTGAAAGTCACAAATTTTGGTTTCATGCTCTACCATCACCACCTTATCCCCCAGAAAATGATTTCCCTCCCTGATGTTGAGGTATCTTATTGTAGCTATTGCCACCTGCAAAAATCTAATGGAAAAGGGATTAAATGGTTACTTTCCCTATGGGTTTTAAGAGGCAGCATGAATATTGTTTTCAAAAATTAAAGTACCTTCAAATGGGATGGTTTGGGGTAGGGCGATTGAGGGCTACTACAAGTACCTTAAGCCTCTGTAACAACAGTATTGTACTACAAAAGATGCCAGTGATAGTTTTTTTTCTACAAAGCCTTCTTGTCCAAATGAGCTTACAGAAGGTAGCAGATTACCTCTAACACAATTGTTCATTCCAGCAAACTAGCACCAGAGGTTGGGATTGTACTCTTAGTTACTTAATGCAAATCTCAGCAAGAGTAAGACTTTTCTATCCTTTTTACATAGTATGAAGATCATGAAAATGACACACCCAAAGTAGCAATAAAGAAACTGAAGGGTGCAGAAATGAAACCTGAAGTACTTAATGGCCATATACCAGCAGGACATATTCCTAAACCTATAGTGATGCCGGATTACTTAGCGTGAGTATAAGTATTTTTAGCTTGCAAAATAGTATTTAAGATCATCATTATGTTAAGCCTTAAATCAGACTTTACAAATCACACTGGCTGGGTTCCAATAATATACTAAACTAAAAACAAGACACATTATAAGATTTAAAAATACAACATATAAATCCAACAAATGTAGTTTACTAAGTTGAGAAGGTTAGTCTGTTATTCACGCTTCCTAAAAAGTATGCTGCGTAAGCTGTAAAGCCACATCATGGGAAGACTTCCTAGTCTTTTTAAACTAGAAAAGTATGCTTTAGATTTTGAATTTTAATTTTTATTAAGCTTTAGGAAATAATAAGTATATAATGGAGTCACACATATTAAACTGTAATGTGGTTGTTTGGATTTGGCTTAGTGTTTATGCAAACTCAGCTATTAACATTGTAAATGTTTTAGGATTATAAAGGCACCTAACCAATAGTCACTTGTCAGCTCATACTTGAACCATATGATGTGTGAATTCAGTCAACTTGTTGGAATGTTCAGAATATTATCTGGCCCAGCCCATTCCACCAAATGCTTTCCAGATAAGAGATTATCCTGATTGCAGTCCAAATATTGTATGCTAAGGGAAACAATGGTCCTAGTCTTGATTGATGCAATATTTAATAATCTGTATAGAATTTTCCATGCTATACATTTTAAAGTTATTTTTTTTAATTCTATAACATGCATTTACAATTTACTAAATTGCTGACATACCACTGATTATAAGCTTTTTGCTTATAGAAAATACCCATCAATTCGGACAGATGAGGAAAGAGACCGTTATAAAGCTGTATTTAATGATCAGTTTTCTGAATATAAAGAGCTGTCTTCTGAAGTTCAGGCAGTTTTGAAGAAGTTTGATGAGTTAGATGCCCTTATGAGGAAGCTTCCTCAGCATCCTGGAAATACTCTTGTAAGTATGGATTTAAAGTTTATATTTATAGGTAGATATCAGTAGATTAGGCTGAACAGCAGCCTAATCATGGTAATCCCTTAGTTTTTGGAAGTTATACATATTTTATATTTGTTGCTAAGATTCATTACTTGTTAGAGAAGAGGCAAAGAAAGTCTTGGTAGTTTACTTACACCTGTTATTTAACAGTTAAATGACTGGAGCTAGTAATCACCGTATGCTTGGTCTACTTCTTCCTTTGTGTTTCTGACTGAAGATGTATCTGTCAGAGAGGCCAGCTTCTAACAGAGCTCAGTGGCTATGCAAGTCTTACCAAAGTTGATCCAGCAAGCAAGTGATCTCTTTATGGTGACATTCAAACTTTGCCATGATCAAGTTAAATGTTAGAACAGAACACAAGTGGCATTGAGAGTTATTATTTTACAGCCACTCCTCGTTTAGCAGCTACCTTGTTTAGAGACCATTCCCAAATACAGCAGTAATTTAAAAAAAAATAATTTTCCAACCAATGTGCACACTTACAACCAAATTTCTTGCACCTGACAATAGTGCATGCTGGAGTGAGAGTAAAAGCTGGCGTAACTGTATGAGAGAAATTTATCTAAATGAATCGGCAGCAACCACTGATCTTCGCAATGTCTCTCTCTCTCTCTCTCTCTCTCTCTCTCTCTCTCTCTTTCAGTCACATGTTCTCTTACCATTTTGCTTCCAATTTAAGGAACAAATTGCAGTTGCTAAACAAGGAGAGGGTGTATTGCTTTTTCTGGACATCTATCATTCCTTT